TAAGCAAGCCTGGAAAAGACTTGTGCTGCAACTTGTGAGTGTGGATGGATGTGAGCAGTGGAGCTGGACTTAGACTTCACCATAGCTTGCAGGATCAAGCCTGTTTGTGTCTAGCTGGTCCCTGCACACTGCAGACTCCAACAAAACAACAGAAAAGAGAAAATAAGAGACATGCCTTTATGTTTCAGAAGAAACTGCCAATACTCTGATCTTTCCAGCTCCAGTCTGTTTTTCTTATCTTGTATAGACTGTGACATAACAGTAAATACACTTCCTGGAATTGTCTAGAAATCAAAACTCTGCACCACCTCCCTCAGGTTTGCTACAAAGTGACATTTTTCATTTGAAATGTTTGATAAATGCAAAAACAAAGTTGGAGCAACCCCAAAGCGAAAAGCAAAGAACGTCTGAAACAAACACACTTCGACGCAGGCGGACCCCCGTGGACGCGGAGATCCGCCGTAAACATTCGCCCGCAAGTGCTCAGATGTATATGCATATATTACATACTTTAAATGTGTTGTGTCACAGGGATAAACTGCCCGTTTATATTTAATGCAACCTGGATTAAGCTTTTGTGATGACTGGCAGGGATTTCATTGTTATGGATGCAATGCAATACTTGAATATGCTACATGTGGGATTTGGTCACGGATTGATCGAAGATTGTTCCTGCCTGTTTTCCAGGTCGTCATCAACGTCCATAAGTGTGTGTGTGTGTGTGTGTGTGTGTGTGTGCGTGTGTGTGTGTGTAAGGAAAGAGTAATGACTAAGGGACAGACATGACAGGCTGGCTCTCTGTAGGTTTCCTGGCTTATTACGTCGCTGTATCAACGGCCAGCTCAAGCAGACTTCATTGAGCAGACAGGTCAAACACAGTTCACCACAGAAGTTTTCATTCAACTTTTGTCATTTTTTTATTGGTCTGCAAAGAAAAGATTCGAGAGATAGTCGGCTTTATTTGAAGCTCAGACCAAAGAACAGCTCAGTTTTTAAACACTGCAAAGGGCTGCATTAACAGAAATCTCTATTAACAGATACTGCATGAGAACCTGTAGGCGAGGGGCAAGATTTTGGGGCCATAAGCCTTTTGGTCTACGTTTTTAGTTTGACCAAAGACGTTTGAGCAGGCTTCAGTTGCCCACAAAAGAGGTGAAGCACAGTGACTGTGAACCATGTTGCATTGCATATGCTTTCTGTATTTTTGCACTGTACAGAGATATATGTTTTTAACTTTTCCTCAGTTTTATTCTCTTTTTCATTTCTGTTAAACTGTTGGTATAGGAGGAACGGTATTTCATTTTTGATTGTACGCTAGCGCATGAGATAATGACAATAAAGAAGTCTTGACTCTTGAAATGCATCGCCCAGCTGCTTTTTAATTGACCTGTATTTATATGCAGAGAGTTGTTAGGGTTAGGTTCTCCATTGCTGCGGTTCTTCTAATCAGCCTCTGTCTGAAATGCTTGCTTTTAGCTCCTGTCTCTTTAAGGCCCCCCTCCTGATAAAGCCCAGCCCACTCTGATTGGTCAATCTCTTCCACGTATGTAGGATATGTCAACCTCCGCTCTAGCTTTACCTACCTTTGTAAAGAGCAGTGCCAGACGAGCCGCAAGGTGTACATTATGTAAATATGAAAGTATCGTCCAGAATACTGAAGAGACATTTCAGGAGCTTTAGGAGCATTAGGATTTCCCTTTACCACGATTTTATGCTTTTTACTTTGCAGACCTGTTACATACAATGAAAACCTGTAACACGCAAGCAGAAAGCAAAATTAAGACTGCAAAATATGTTTTCTCAAGACCAAGGTGGTTTCGAGTTTGAGGAACAAGCTGCTACGTCAATCCGTCGCCTCTAGGCTGCACAGCTTTAGGCCAGGATTAAATTGTCTGTTGTCTCATCACAACGTTCCATAATAAAGGTTTAAAACTTCACTGTTACCCAGACATCTACAGGGAGTGTATGTGCTTTCTGGCAAAAAAAGCAAACTTCAACTTTATTGATGGATGACTCGTTTTGGTGCCAGAGTGTTCTGTATTGGCACCGTCATTGCGTCAACAAAGTGCCCTCACTGAAATGGGTGAGGCTGCATTTTCTTTAATTCATGGCATTGTCTGTTTGAATAAGTTCTCAACAACAGACAAGTAAGCAAACATGGTCTCCAACAGCAGCCCAGCAAAGTTGACTCTCCACATCCCTGCACAATAGCACCTAATTTGGGGCTAATACTACCTGAACTACTGCAGATACATATCTGAATGTATATTCTAACATTTTCAAAAGAATCTGTGTCCACACAACCTTCATTTTACAAAATATTCCCGCCCAGACAAAAACACAAAAGCAACAACAAACATGAAAAAAACACTGGTGGGCCAGTAGGTGGCGATAAAGTCAACAACTGATTTGTCAAATACCAGTGAAGAACATTGCAGCCCATGTATTATTGGGCAAGGCAGACACCTTGTGAATGTCGCTAATGTGGCCACATTTTGTTGTAACTTGTAATTAGAGCAGTGCTAAACGAACATAAAGAAACAGGTACATAGCCACCATTGTTGGGGAATTTGCGAAATAAGCTCTGATGTAAACAAGACAATATCCACATTAGTGTGGACACATCCAACCGATCCCTAGTTCAAGTAATTTCACAGAGCTTTAAGTTTGTGTTTACTTAGAAACTCTTTATTATCTGCTGTTGTTTTGTGTTATTATTAATGTCCTACACTTTGAACAAAACTTTTTAAGGCGGTACTGCACATCACATTTGTACCTAAGCGTGGCAGAAAGTGCTCCCTCGGGAGTTACTGCTCTAATATATCACTGGAATTAATTGTGCCGAAACATTCCAATGCAGGCAAGAAGTGACTGCTGTTGTAATAGGCAATAACTCTGGCGATGGGCTTTTTCTAAGTTTCATTGGGTCCACTTTGGTGCTTGTCACGTTTGATTGCTCACAGAATTTTTTAAGAAGCCTCCTCCCTTCATAACAGCTCCTCATCTTATGGGCAGAAACTGGTGTCTTTCAGGAAAAGGCTCGTATCACCTTTATCTCATCTGGCTCACACCGGGACTCCTACACCTGCCTCCTCCATTTACGCTAATTTAGAGTTGAATCACAACTTCCCTAATGCCCCCGCTCGGCTCTTCTTATTATTACCTTCACGTCCCCGCTCTTGAAGTAATTCTACTGTTGTGCTCCGTTTGAGTCGCTCACGATAAGAGCTCGAGCTAAACACTCGAATGTAAATGAAATTGTAGAAGAATCTATTTAAGTTGGGCAAGTTATAGAGATAATTGTTAGAGGAAGAGAAATAATGGTGGCAGAAAACAGCTGACACAGCTGTGGGACGCACCACAGACGATCATTGTTACAATTAATTTGACAATGATATATTTAACAAGAAATGTTCCAGTTTGCTAACAAGCTACATTCAGTGTGAAGCATAATTTAGAGGGTCTTTGCAACACAGACATTTGTCTTGTCTCCTTAAAGCAGCCTTTGCCTTATCTGTGTGTCCTTCACTGGGTGACATATATAGCCATACGTTAACATGAAGTCAGGGATAGATGGCACGGATAGAGTATTTCCAGAAAAGCGAGCGCATATATAGATTTACATATAATTCCTCCAGGTGCCTCGAGGCTCAGTTTTTCATCTTCTATCGTCATGTGAGTCACTCTCTGAATCCTTTTGACTAAATATGCATGACATTATCTTTATTCTTGATGGCAATGTGCTGAATAACGCTCACACGTAGCAGGCGCCTCCTTCCCCTTTGCCTCTCTTCCATCCGCTGCCATCTTGCCACCAACACCCACCCCCCCTCCCACTGACGCCACCTTTCTGGCCCCCCCATCGAGTTCAAACGAAGAGGCCTATCTTCGCTCTTCCCCGTGCACACACACCTAGTCTCTCGCAGGAAGAGAAACACACACGCTGCATTAATTCATCCGTGTCCCTGGAGGTTCCAGCTCTCCTTAAGGGACTTGAGGAGTTTCAACAGAGGGTCGGTCTGTTTACTTTGTTGTCTCAGGAGGTATATTCCCATTTGAATTAAAGTAAGTGAGTGTGGTCTGCAGTTGGGTTTAGATGTCTAATCTTCAGACACACACAGGTTGGCATGTGAGTGTGTATTTTTTGTTTTTTGCATTCATTTACTGTACAGATATAATTAAGTGTGTGCGTGTTTTTAGTGTGTCTGTGTGTAAATGCGCTCATAAATGTGTAACTTAATACCAAGGGTTGTTTACAAGCATAGTATGTGGCGCTATAGCTTTCATCTCAGTTCAATGAGGCTGAGCCACTCAAAGCAAATCTTAAGTTATGTTAAGCTTAACTTTGAGCTCTCGGTATAAAAGCAGGTTAGCCTCCCCCCCCGCCCAACCAACCTTGCCTTGAGCACTGCAGGATGAAAAATGGATAGAAGCCCCCAGAGGAAGGAGGGGGAAGGTCCATCTGTGAGCTGCATTCAAGGACAACAGTGTTATCCATTTTGGAACAGTATGAAACAAGCCAGTGTTTTCAGTGGGGTTTGGAAATGCGGGCATCTGGATGAACTGTGGATGCCACTGTTGTCTTGCCAAGCCAACTGTGATGCTGCAGATTAGACGCGAATCATTGACTCCTTGTTTGTATCAGCGCGACTCTCCTCATTCAGGGTGAGAGATAATGAACAAATGTGACTGATTATTTCTGATCAGTGTTGTGGTGAATTACTGCAGCAGCCGGGATTGTTTTTGCAGCACACTGGTGCTCATAAAAGCTGCGTTTAATGTGATTTCAAGTTATTCAGCCCCGAGGTGTTTGGTTCTGGCGATATCTATTAATCTCTGTTTTGATCTTGTTTTCCCTTTTCTCCTTTTCCTTACTTTTTGTTCTCCACTCCGTCTTTCTACTTCTGTGCCCCTCACTTTTTTCTCTCTTTCCTTCATCTTTATTTTTTGTTCTTTCAACTCTTCCACCTCCTCGCTCTTGTCCTCTCTGACAGAACCCATTCCACCTGCAGATGTCAGCCCGAGTGCCTCCGTCAACTCTGGGCAGCCTGCTGCTGGCGGTCCTGCAGGGCGGAGAGGAAGACAGAGACAGAGGACGTCGGGGGGAAGGGAGCTGGGGAGGAGCAGCTGTGATCTGTCCTGGTTGGGAGGAAGGGGGCGATGGGCTGCTCTCTCACCTCCAGAGGCACAGCGGTTCCACCTGGCATTTGTGGGACATCATCAACCTGACCCGCATCACAGGAGGTGGGGATAGGAGAGGGGAGGCCAGCGAGGAGAGGAGGGAGGATCAGATGGAGGAAGAGGCTTTGAAGATTCTCTCTGCTCGTTTCCTGCGCTCCCCCTCTCCTATCTCCTCGGTTCTCCTCCTGGGCTCTGACCCCGAGTGTCTCTCCTCTGTCCTGCGGGCCGCTCAGCGCCTCGCTCCATCACTACCAGCACTACAGTGGATCATGGGATACCCCTTGTCTCCAGATTCGCTGCACACTCTAGGAGGCCCCCTCGGACTGCTAGCCTATGGGGAGGTTGGCCGCAAGCCAATCAGTTTCTACATCCGGGACGCTTTGCAGTTGATTGGCAGAGCAGTCACTGCGGCAACCATGGTGAGACCGGACTTGGCACTGATCCAGAACATGGTGAACTGTTACGACATAGCAAACCGCCATGAAGCGCCCTCTTCAGGACAATATCTAACCAGGTAAACACATTTATACATACATATCGAACTAAAGATGAGCAATTCTTGAAATACATTTTAAGTGTAAGCCGCTCAAGGAGATAGTTTGGGATTGTTTGTGCCCACTGCAGCAGCATCTCCTTCTAGAAAGTGTCCCTGCTACAGGATGATCCTCAGGCCTCTCCGCATTTTCCATATAGGGACTTTTTTTAGTTGTAATTTGGATGAACCAACACTGACAGATGTCAAACAAAGTGCATTCTGATGCTTGTGGCAGTAAGAGTGGGGTCAGTTCCAGGGAACTACCCTGCAGCTGCTAAAGATTTGTCCAAGGAAACTTCGAGAGAGTGGATGATTGAGAAACTTTATCCAAAAATTTTACATATTGCTCCAGGCGACGGATTAGCTGTGGTACAGTCCGGGCAAGATGGGGGCGTAACTAGTGTCTGTATCACCTGCAGCTACCAGTCTGGCCTCCAATTTCTTTTTTAAATGACTCCTGGGCACCTTAAATATGTGGACAAGGTCAGAAAAGTCTTCACATTTAAATCACCAAATGATACATGAAATAAACAGTGACAAACAATTAAGCGCCTCTGGTCACACTTTGGAGATTTTATAAGAGGCCGTTTGCTCCACTTATGGCAACGGGCGCTCGGATTGCCGCCCTTGTCCGTCCTCTGCTAAGAGTGGTAACGTCTGAACAGCGGTGTCGTACTGAGGGGTGGGGGTGGGGGGGTCTTTACGGCATACAAATTACACTTTAGAGTTTCATCTGTTTCCGTTTGCTGTTGTTTCAATCCCTGCAACTTTTTAAAGGCCTCTTGCTCTCCAGCTTTCACAGTGTTCTGTCAAGGTGCAGTCTGTGATAACAATTTGAAATACATCCTAAACCATGAATGTTTTCAATTAAAGAAAAAGAAATGTTTAATCCCCACATTTATATCCAGCAAAAACTCTGACTCGTATAGTTTATAGTCTCCTAACCACATGGCAGATAGTGAGTAATCCACTGAAGCAAAGTCCCCTTTAAATTCACTGGATCCAGAATTTTATTTGGATTTGCACAAAATTGCACACACTCATAAATATCAGTCCCCTTAACATGTCTGATTTTTATTCAAAGTCCATTAATTATTCTCTGAGAAATCAACAAAAATGTTGAAAAATGCTTTTTCTCGCATTGTTAAGTGGAAAAAACATTCCTGGATCCACGCTTCTGATCCGGATCAGAATTGAATGGGTCCTTTCCTGACATACCAAGTTTTGTGGTAATCCGTTGAGTCATTTTTTGCGTAATCCTGTTCACTAACAGACAAACAAATGCAGACTAAACTTTGGCCTATGTTAAAGCTAAAGCAGAAAAAAATAAATCCTGACATTTGCAGCAAAAACTAAGATTTATACTTTGTGACCTCTATTAAAGCTAAATGTGTCAGAATCTGACTGATGCTTTAAACCAATATTTCTTTTCTACCAGTTGACATGGATCATTTTCAAATATTGCACTGGCTAAAACAGCATGCCCTTCAACTTCTGTGGTCATGTGGCTCTGCTGAGTGAAGGATTTCTGCTTTGAGATGAGCCCCACAGCAAATATTGAACACACACGCCGCCTGCCAGCTGAGAGTGATCATTAACAACACCCACATAATCACGAGCTGGATTCTTACAGTGTTTCCTCTTGCTGTTTAGTTGAACTCTAGGATGCCAGAACCATTTGGCATGGATGGCCAGAGGCTAAAACGAGCAGAGTGGGAGTTGTGTTGCAAAGCAATATTATTGGACATTCTCTGTTAAAGAGAAAAACTTTTCTTAGGTTTAATGTGATTAAATTGCACATTGTGAGCCACGCTAGCAATGTGGCTTTATGGATGACAGTGATTCTCAGGCAGACCACCACTTCCAGACTGAAATATTATAACAACCATTAGATGAATTGACTTTAAATTGTGTGCAAACATTATTGGTTCCTAGAGGATGAAGCCTACTCTGTGTCTTTTCCTCTGGTGCCACCACAGATGTGACATTTGCAGGTTTTTAACTCCTCGCCACTCCTGAAAAAATTGGTCAAAAACACCTGTACAAGAGAAATTGAATCCTGCTCTCCAACCACTTTGAGTACATGAATGCTCTTGGTCTCTTTTGAAAGGTGAAACAAGTTGTGTCCTCAACAGTCAGTCACTGTAAGTGCTATTGCCTTTGAGTAACAAAAGTTTTTGTGACCAAATGCCTGCAGAAGACTGTAGCTGTGCCCATGCATGGTCGCAGTTCACATTTGATACTAAAATATATATATATATATATATATATATATATATATATATATATATTTTTTTTTTTTTTTACACATTTTTCTGCACTCTCCAAAAATGGCCTAAAAGACTCAAAACAAGTGCTATAGCAGAAAAACCATAACGTACATATAAACATCCTCCTTTTAGTACTACTTATTTTCCAACCTGAATAGGAAACATCTCAATAACTACTTGCTGCAGGTTTCCATGTAAAAACACCTACTCAGCCTTAATGTTAAACGTAAAACACAAGCAGTGCTTTTAAACCGACTGAGATTCCATCAGGAAACTAAAGAAAGTCAGCCATCCAATGGAGAGTCAATTAGAACTCAATCAACACTATCAGAACTGACTTTTCATAATGGAGTCCTGCACATGCAGTGTCAGTGACCTTTGTTCTTGGCCTTTGAGAGACCGATAAAAGAGGTCGTTCCACCGCACGATTCAAACGGGTCCAGTCGTACGTCTTTGCCCTCTGGTGTTCTCCCTGATTCTTATCCCTTCGCTGCATCAGGCAGACATACCGCTGCTCTAGAGAATCCTAACAAAGCTGAAGGAAGTGAGAGAGTTCCACGTGGAAGAGGCAATTAACAGCTCAATGCCTAAGGGAGAGAGCCAGAGAGGCAGGGAGGGAGAGTGGATGTCTGGAGATACAAGCGAGAGAGGAAGCTATGAGACAGTATAGGAGCTAAAACATAAAATGCACAGTGTTACATTTCAAAGCACTGGCACAATGAGGATATATGAGAAACTCGCCAGTTTTTATGAAGTCAAAATGTCCAGGATAAAAAAATATATATCCCAGGGTGCTTATTCTAAAACATATAGCAGAGAGAAGTCAAAGAAAAACATACAGATGAAAGACAGAGGATGTAGAAAAAGATACGAATAAAGTCAAAGAAAAGGAACTTGTGTGGAAAAGGATGTGAGCGAAGGACAGACAAAGTTAGAGGGGGCCGGAGATGGAGTGCAGTTGTTATCAGAGTGAGATGTGTCAGTCAGTGCCCATCTTGCTCATCACTGATTCCATATCCCCTGAAGAGATTTGAACCCCTGGAACAAGAAAAGCTTTGCATCATCCCACGCTAGACAGGCAGACACAGATGCAAGTAAACTTTCCTTCGAACTGAAGGAGATAAGCGAGTGAGACACATGCCCGGGACTCTCTTATGGAGTCATCATTTACCCACCACTCTGCTGATGCTCACTGTGCACGCTGGGGCCAGGTATTAGTGAGCGGAAGCCATCGCTCTCTTGACACCGCCGGCTGACTTATCAACCTGCTCTGACGTCCACGGTCATTTTTTTTAAAACGCTGCCTCTGGCCTGACACAACACAACAAACTGCAGAACCCGTATGGCTAAGGGTTGATGCTGCATAAATACTTTCAGTCATTCTTTGTTTTTTTTCTCTGTTTTATCTCACACTCCCATCACGTTTTTTCTCGGTGGGAATGAATCCAAAAATGCCTCAAAGGGAGCTCTGCACTTCTCTGCTCCGATAACAGATGTAAAGTGGAGCCCATGGTTAATGTTTTTTTATATACTATGCTGTGGTGGCCAGCTGCAGCCACTACACTATGGTATATGAGTCTAGAGTGGGTTGGCTTGATGAATCTGCTGTCTTTGGGATATGATGATTCAGCCGTGCTATTACCATGAGTGATTTCAGCTCAAGGCAAGGCTAGCACTTCCACTTTATGGTCAGAGAGACAGAGGGAGCTGTTGATGAGGAAACATAAGTTAATGTTGGATGGAATGGTAATGACTTTCAAATCAGAGGCATTTTTTTTAATCAGGTTCCTTCGGATTGTGGCGCGAGGAATAGGTTTGTAAATTAACATTGTGCTGTTTGAGTAAATCAAAACGTGAACAAAAGCATGGGGAGAAGAACACGGATCCGTTTGGATGTGAGGTTAATGACTCTTATGATCAGTTTAGTCTTTTCATTTACCGTCGCATTTCCTATATTTAATGGAGAAAGTTCTCCAGCAGCTATTACAATCTATCCTCATCAATTCATACACATAAATTGGAGATGGGGAGGGGGAGAAAAAAAACAGAGAGAAAGCTGCTTTTTTCTGCTCTGAGAAAGGGCTACGACTTGGCCAACCTTTCCCATTAACAGGAAGGAAAACTTGCCATTTCTGCAGGCGCTGCACGGTTCAACACCCAACGAACGCAGTGATCCCTGCTGCCTTTAACATTTAAACAACCCCCAATGATTCACACTGACCTCCTGACAATCCCCCACCTATCAAGACGTGATCAAACAGTACTTGTCTGGTTCCACATTGAAAAGTCACCTGACGACGTCCACGTGATCAAATCCAGACGAGAGCTAACAATCCTTGCCTGGTTCAAGAGTCCAGGGCAGATTTATGTACGAACGGGGATTGCTCTCCCTAATATATTCTGCCGTAAAGACCAATGCGGGTCACCAGGCAAGTGAGACGAATAGCAATGACTGTCTGTATGGACTTGCAGATAGGAGGAGATCCTCTCTGCACTGCATTAACTTTTAATTATGACTTTCTGGGAGATGCAATTATCCATCTGAGACTAGACTTGCTAAAGCTGCACAACCAGACCATGCCTGTCTGCACCAGTCTTTAACCTTTTCCCTTTTTTTTCTGCATCTGGCTGATTTAGTGCTGTTCTTTATTGCAGGCTACATTTCGAAACACCCCAACATTGATTTCGCATTATTTCCCCCCAGTTTTGCTTATGCTCTGTCCCTTTCTTTCTGTCCCTTAAGATTTCTCGCCAACACTTCCTTCACCGGAGCCACAGGCCTGATCCAGGTGGACCCCGGCCTCTCTCGGATCCTCTCCTCACAGCTGTTCCATGTATGGAGTCTGAAGAGGGGCGCTCTGGGCCAGCCAGCCTGGGTTACTGTTGGCCAGTGGACCAGAGGCCGACTGGAGTTAGAGGGAGGGATCCTTGGGTTAGTGGGAGGGTTCGGGGGCAGCCAAGGACAAGGTCTTGGGGCAGGGGTGAGGGGAGGGGATGGCCAGGGGGACGGCCACATTGGAGGACGCTGGAGGCCGGGACTGTCCATTGAGAGACACCGTCTGCGTGTGGTAACACTGGTGGAACACCCATTTGTTTTCACACGGGAGGTGGATGAGGATGGATTGTGTCCTGCTGGTCAGCTCTGTCTGGACCCCAGAACCAACCGGTCTGACATAATCCACAGCCTCTTCAACCAGCTGCACAACCCAAACGCTTCAGCCACAGACTGGGAGGGCAACGGTGAGCTTTGTTTTGGCATTTGTCCTGAGAACACTGTGGTGGTGAAGTACCGCTCTACCCTAGACTACTGAAATACCTCATTTGAACTTGTAGAACATGCATGAGTTTTTTAAAGTAATCTCTAAGCTTCTTGAATGTCTGTACTGATCCTCCTCAAGATTGAAGAGGATTTGAGTAAAAAGTAAAATCAATAAGAGAGCTGGGACTAACATCATACCCGAGTTGACCGCATTCTGGCACAATATGTCCAGGTTTTTTTTTAATTTCATGGGTTGAGGGATGACGCCAGGTTTACTATTGTTAGCAGTACCAGATGATAACAAAACCTGAAATATTTTCGGTACACATGCAATCTACTGTGCAGAGAGTAGTCATTTCAGATGTCTGGGCTGAGAATGTTTTTCAGACTTCTGAGTGGGAAATACAACCTCAGGGGATCAAGGGATCTTTATGAATTAAAAGGATTTCAGGTGCATTGGTCAACAACAAAAAAAACCTGTATAGCAGTCAAACATAAGACATCCTAAGCAGGAAGATTTTTGTATTGAATGGAAACTTCAATTTTGACTTTAGTCGTCTGGTCAAACTGTAAGAAAAGTACAATTCATTTGGGATCACAGCATCTGCAAGTAAATCATTTCAAGTTGGTTTTCTAATAGTTGTATGCACCAGCATCCTTTTCTCCTCGCAGGCTAACATCCACATGCCTGTGCTCAATGTGCTTATGCATTGCTCTGGTCAATTGGTCACATACCAGCTTATTCTGACACAGCCTCCATAGAACTTTATTTTCATTTTTTATGTCAAAATGCTGCCAAACCATGCCGGCTTTATGAGATGTCATCTGTCCCCACGTTCCACTTTGCTGGTTTACAACGTCTGGGCCTAAGCACAGGGAGAAGGGGGGGGGGGCCTTCTGCCAGGGCTGCAGCACTGGCTAGTGGCAGGTGGCGGCGCAACAGATGCAACAGTTAACCCGCTTTGGACCTTTTGTGAAATATAATCATAGGCCAGTTTTTCTGGTACTGATTAGCTATGTTAAATCATTTAGTTGCCTAATTGCACACATGTCTGATCTTAATCCTTTGGCCTGAATCAGCACGTGACAAATAGAACGATGTTTGCCAGAAAAAAATCTAAACAAACAATAAGCCATAAAGAATTAAAAATATAATATCCTAGCATCTCCGTCTTGTTTACACCTCTTTTTTCAGAAGGATACATTTTGAATGTATTTATATTTTAATTTAATGTGAGCAAATGTTCTAACCGTTATTCTGGGGTAATGGAAACAAAAAGATGATAAACTTCCAATGAATGATCATCATCACTTCTTTCCTTGTAGAACTACCGGAGGACCTGAGGAAATGCTGCTACGGCTACTGCATTGACTTGTTAGAGAAACTGGCAGAAGACATGGGCTTCACCTTTGACCTCTATATCGTGGGTGACGGGAAGTATGGGGCGTTGAGCGGGACAGGACGATGGACGGGGCTTGTCGGGGACCTGCTGGGCGGAACGGCTGACATGGCTGTGTCCTCTTTTTCCATCAATTCAGCGAGGAGCAGAGTCATCGATTTCACTTCGCCCTTCTACTCCACCAGCCTGGGCATCCTGGTACCACTGCCTAAAGTCATCATTAGTTTGTGTTTGCATTTTAATGTAGAAGACAGAGGGCATGTAGTAAAAAAAAAAAGTACTGCATTGTGAGTCAGTGGCAGCGTTGCAGTCTTCAGCATTACTTTGATTTGTCAAACTCTCTCCCCCTGGCAGACACCAGTACGATTTGATGATATGATCTGCAACGACTTAATTTGTCCCTCATGCCCTGCCCACCCGGTCTTCTGCTAAGGAACAGGAGATCATTAGCTGGGGAATAATTACTTTAGTGAGTTTTCAGTGGGCATGTTAATTATGAAAGTTCAAAATGAGAGCTAGATTGTATAATTAGTCTGCATTTTGAGAAGCCATCTTAGCAAAGAGTCCAAACATGCTGCAGTAACGCTTTGATTTGTTAATATCTCCCTCTGTGGCTGACAAAACTGCAGTGCTTAATATGATATGAATATACGGATCCATTTGAAAATGAGAACCCCATCACTAGAGAAATATTTATTTTTTCCTTACAAACTAATGAAACGCACCAAAATAAAAAACAACCTTTGCAATTCTTTAAAAGCTATTTATACCTAGGAGCATTTAAGATATGTTTACTGACAAGAAGCCACAGACCAGAGGCAGAATTATAGTCTTAATGTTTCACATGTCAGGTTTGCAGATGGTGAACAGCTGCATGGAACCATTCTTTTGTTTGTGACCTACCAGGTTCGAAGCCGGGACACTGCAGCTCCCATTGGAGCCTTCATGTGGCCTCTCCACTGGTCCATGTGGGTGGGCATCTTTGTCACGCTGCATCTCACCGCACTATTCCTCACCTTGTACGAGTGGAACAGCCCCTTCGGCATGACACCCCATGGAAGGAACAGGCTGCGGGTGTTCTCCTACTCCTCCGCCCTCAATCTCTGCTATGCCATACTGTTTGGACGCACTGTCGCTACCAAGGTAAAGCAGCTCCCTCTTTGTGATAAAGAGGCATCATGCAGCGAGGGGCAGGGATTAGAAATGACAGGGAAAGGGCGGAGGGGGTGTGCTTTATTGGAAAGGCTACACAAACAATGAGAGCAGCTGGATAGTGGAAGTGAGAGGGGAAAGAGGCTTGGAGAAAGATGATAGAGATTGCCAGAGAGGGGAGAAGATGGATAGGAGAGAGGTTAAGAAGGCAAGCAGTGATGAAGTAGAGAGGCTCAGAGAGGATAATGCACATACAGGGAGGGAGAGGGGAAAGGGTAAGTGGGCTGACAGAGATTGAAGGAGTTATGGCAAGGATGATGGGGATGGATGAAGGTGGGGGAAAAAGTAGAAGGAGTAGAGGTCAACTCCCCCATGTAGTCAGACACAAAGTTGAAAACAAGAAGGTAGGGGGAGGAGGGCAAATGAGGGTAGGAAGGTGAGGGAGCAAATCAAGAAATGGGCTTCAAACTGACGGTAATGGGGAGGCTGCCAGGAAGATGGCGAGATGGGGTTGAGAGGGTAAGTGGGTAAGAGGAGACAGGGAGAGCAACAGAGTTTAGGTGATGTGGAGGTGGTCAGACAGAGGATGATGTACAGGGGAAAGGGCGAACAGGCGGGTGGGCAAAGTTGGAGTGTTGGGCGACTACAGGGTTAGTGTGAGACAGAAATGTGACATAGAGACTAATGGACGTCAAGTCAAATGCAAAATAAATCTCCTTTCTTTCAAAAATAAGAAATAAAACTCCTCTTACTTTAATGTCATTTGTTTGGTATACATATTTTAAGATATTAGATATACACATATCACACCTGTAACATTTACACCACTGCACATATCACAGCGGAAAAACAACCGTGTTCCCTTCTTTCTTCTTTTTTTTTTTTTAAACAGAAAACATTCTGTGCCAAAATCAATCATTAAGTGATTAGACAGACTTTACCATAATTGAAAGGTCACAGGTTTGATCCCTGCAACTGGAGATGTGTCCATTTACCAGGTTGTGTTAATTTCTAGCCTCATGACCTGGAAAAAATCCTTGAGCAACTCTCTGAACCTGCGTGTGCTGGGTCAGAGCCGCACAGTGTGTGGTCAGAGTCATCAGCCTACACAGCAGTGGACTAGTAATTAATAGCTACGCATTTATCACAGGGTTTATTTTAAAAAGATTTAGGCCAATTTCAAAGTATTTAAAACGAAAGAGTCGAATGGAAGAACTCGCTGACTGTTTCGGACATGCTCATGTAACCATGTCCAGCTACTAGCTTACGGTTAACTACGTTGGGTTATCGTTATTGTGCAGCAAGAGTTCGCAAAGAGACAAAAACGCAGAGACATCAACAACAGCATCCACTATAAAAACACATTTCAGCAAAGGGAAATGGAAAATTCCTACCAACCAAGCAACTACAGTAGGTCAAAACACATCCAATAAAACTTCAAAGAGTTCATAACTGCAGTATTTGAAAATGACTTCCAAGGTCAGGAAGCGTCATAAACATTTGTTTAGGATTTCACATCCACTGTGTATTACTTCATGGAAGACAGTTCTGGATGCTATCAGTGTCAAACTGTTTAAATGTACTTTGCCATATAGCAAAAAAATCTGATTGAAACACAATGTAATGTATTGTCACACAGAAGTATTGAATCTACGTTGACACAAAACATTGAAAGCAAATTGAAAGCACTGTTATTTTTTTGTCTGAATTAATGTTGTATTTTCACTCATAACAGACACAATTAAATAAAATCAACAACGATTCAGAATTCATGAAACTCAGATGCACCTAGATTGTTTTTAATTATATTTTGAAAGAATGATAGTGAAACAACCTTTATCTACATTTTGGTTGATTCAAAGTTGTAAGCAAGACATTTCCGGGGGGGGGGTAACATTTTGTCCTCTGATGACTTTAGTAGACAATAAACAGAGACAAAACTTTGAGACTGTTATTTTGGTTAGTTCAGTTAATTGCGGTGAATATATTAATTAGTCTCCCCCTTTAATCAAGTCACATATGAAAGTGTTTACTTGGATCCTGTGAAACGTGTCTTATTTTAAAACCACTCAGCCAGAAACATTAATATGCAGCTAAGTTGCTGCTGATCAAACTCTGCCGGCAACAATTGTCATTTCAGCTCGCAAAATGGATGTTCACAGCATAGAAATCGAGTTCTTGTTAAATAAGGCTGCCTCTGTTATCATTGGAAAGTGTTTATCGAAGAAAACTTTGATCCAAGTAACAGTTACTGGGGAGAACAGGAACATTTTATTTCATGTGTGAGCAACATTCCCACTAAACACAGCTGGTGAGCACAAGTTGTAATTTTGCTTACCATCTGGAAAAACTGAACACTCTCACGTTGGAAGACTAAAAGCCCCCTGATCATTATCTTTCATTATTTTCAACTGAGCTGCAACTGCAAAAACTATGTACATACATTTAAAACTTCCCTTAGTTCACGTTTTCCCAAAAATAATACTGTGTATACTAATACTTTATAATGTGTCTGCCATCCTTCATTTCCAGCAAATTATACTAATAGCTTGACGCTCTCTGAACACCTTTTCATTCATGGGTTACAAACTTTTTTTGTATAGTTAATGTCTCATTAATCCCAAGCCTTTAGAAAAAAAAAAAACTATAAATGCATCTCTCTTCTTCTGTTAAGTGGAACTTAATTGGTGGACTAAATAAATGAACAGTATTCAGGTGGATTCCTTCCCCGAGGCGAGCAATTTCACAGAAAGACATTTGGGATCGGGGCTTACAAACAGTCACACTTTGTTAGATTTCCTCTCCTGGTCTGTTTTGATTAACTTGATTACCCTCACTCTGGAGTTAAATCGGGATTTTTAAGGTAAGGGAGGAAGAGGACGTTGGGAGCCATAGGGCGAGCTCGACTTTTATGTCAACACCTGAAATCATCAATTTTTACACCCTTATATTTTTTGTTGTGACCCCTGTCCTTCTTTGTTGGGTATATGTTGTGTTATCTCAGTCTCCTCCGTGTTTGTTGCCATCTTGACGTAATTTTTGTTTTGATCTTGGATATTTTTAGATATTTAGTTAGTTATTTTCCGTTTGTTCTGTTTAATTATCTCCATATGCTAATAATTACACAAAAACAAAACAAAGTATAATAAAAGAATCCCCTCCTGGGATACATCTCCACTCCACAGACTCCTAAATGCTGGACAGGCCGCTTCCTGATGAACCTCTGGGCCATCTTCTGCTTGCTGGTGCTGTCCAGTTACACCGCCAACCTCGCCGCCGTCATGGTCGGGGAGAAGACCTTCGAGCAGGTCTCAGGAATCCATGACGACAAGGTTAGACTGCAGAGCAAGGACGCAAACTTGCAACCGCATGCATGTCGGCACGCCACACACAAACATGCAGAGATGCAGCGACATGAACACGCAAACTAATCTCACACAAGGACAAGCTAATGAGTAAAGAGCGGAATCATTTGTGAAGGATTATCACTTTCCATATCCTCAAAACCCTGTGGGGAGTTCAGGGCTACAGTGAGTTTGAATCCCATCATGATATCTACCCCGCCTCCCCCCATCTCTCTCGCTAATCAACTCCAACGTTGTCTTCCTGTGTCACTCCCCCAGCTGCACCATCCCTCCATGGGCTTTCGTTTCGGCACGGTGAGGGAGAGCAGTGCTGAGGATTACATGAAGAAGAGTTTCCCGGAGATGCACGACTACATGAGACGCTTCAACCAGCCCACCACGCCGGAAGGTGTACACATGTTAAAGTAAGATACAAACGCATTTGTGCACAGAGAAGACCTCACTGACACTTGTGATTAAAATGCAACCAGGACCTCAACGAACCAGTCGTGCTTCCATCTGCCAACTGCGGTCGTCTGTTTTCTGGGCACTTGTTTTTCGTGCATAATGTGAATAACAATTGGGTCAACAGACAAAAGCATCTTTACAGACATTAGAGGCTGTTCAGAAAACAACATGTGTTGCTTCTATTCCGTTTGGTTCATTTCAAAACTCCTTTGCATAATAACATCTGATATGTCCACGTTTTCTCGTTCACCAGCTGTACAGACCTCTCAGATTTGGTTCTAATATCTCTGTCATAACTTCTACAAGCAATGTATCGATTGAGTGTCTGTGTAGTATCTCCAAAATGAAAAACTTTAAAGGGCAACTTCCCCCTAAGTTTTGGCTGAAGTGCCTCTCTGGAAATACCACTGGAACACTAGCAGCACACACACTTTTGCAGCAGAAAGGTTGTATTAAGTAGAAGCTTCTCCCCTCCGGAGTTTCCTGACAGTCAAGGACACAGTTTGTACCGAGCCGTTCCAGCCTCAAAACATATTTAAATGTACTAGTTTAATGTCAATGAATATTTTGAATGCTTGGTTTTTTTCAGCTTAGAGAGAGATTGATTTTATTCTTTACTTCTTTGCGCTAAATCACAGGGAACATCTAATTTAATGTAAGTTCTGCTCTACTCTGGAGTTTTTTGCTTTGATTTTTTAACACCTGATGTTGCCTCACCCATCACTGTGTGGTTTTGATGAAGATGCTGTTTGCGTCTGACAGAGATCCCAGAGATCCCTTTGTGAGCTGCATATATTTAAACTCTGCATTAGCATGAGTTTTAGCTCATGCAGACACATTCTGGCACAAAGTGTAACTGAGGTGAAAACACATGACGGAGACGATTTTGAGTAGTTGAGGGGGTGACTGAGGGTCAGGGGCAGATTAATGCAAGGAGCAGATGAGAACCAAAGAGACGAGGCAAGTTTATTTTTATAACATATTTAATTATGTAGGTGCTTTACATAATGCATACAAAATTAAAAGGAGATACAGCAGAAGACATTAAGAAAAAAACACTTATTTAAGGGATTGGAACATTACAATTTCAAAAGAAACAAGAAAGTATTTCAAGGTAATGGTAAGTGGATAAAGTTTTGGAAAGCAGTTGCCCCCAGACGACCTGAGACGGAGACGCTCATGTGCTCTGGGAACAGAGATTTGTGGTGAGGTTAAGTAGTTCACTTGAGTAAATGGTGAAAAGAAGGAAGGATTCTTTTCCATCGTATTCTGGACAGGATGTTTATTTAAAACATATACCTTGGTTTTTCTGTTCCATGTATTCAGTACTTTATTATACTGAAACATCATTCAGATGGTATGATTGGTGATCCGTCCTTAACTCCTTCACTTCTGTCTCATTTGTGAGTTGTCCAAGTCATCATTACATCCTTTATCATCATTTCTGTCATCTTATCCAGGCGATCACACACCTGGATAAGATGCCACAGTGTCAGAGTAGAGCTGGAGTATTAACATTTCTCGAAGTGTTTACACATATTCACCGGGCTAATCCTGTAACCAGGGTGGGAGCTGGAGAATTAACAAGTATCTCATGGTGCTAAAGAACAAAAGGAGTCAGGAAGCTGTCCTAATATCTTAGAATTAGAACTTGTTAAATACTTTTTACCAATTATGTATTAGGAAATTGTTTTTATGTATTTTACTTATTCAGTCAGTTATGTTTCAAGATCGTATTCAGAATATTTTTAACAAAATGCAACAAAATTTCAATTAATACATAATAAATTTGCTACAATACTTTAAATACTACTCAAAATATCATTTGCAAACTGTACCTTAGAAATGAATAAAATACATATGTAGAAAAAAGGTTCCCATTTGTGTTATACTTTATAGAGTTTTATAATATTGGGTTAGTATTACATTGATGTCCAAGTCACATTGTACTGTTGAAGTTGGTCAAGCTGGTTTTAACTATTTTATTTACATACATGAAATATTCATGACAATGCATCATATTAACTCACGTTGTGAATATAATATCTTAATCTGAAGTATCTAATGACTAATGCTGTGGAGTAAAAAGTACTGTGAAAATGGATTTATACATATCATGAAGTTGAAATACTCAAGTGAAGTAAAAAAAATCTGAAGATATATGAACAACTACACATTCAGAAACTGTATCACCCCAAGGAAACGCACTCTCTTAAAAAAAAAAAACCACACACACTGTCCTCAAACACACTGCCTCCTCCACAGAGCACCAGCAGAGATGCTGAGATCGTGCATGTGCTGACTTAGTGATACAAGTAGGTAGATGCGCTTGTTCAGAGAAAGGGGATGAGAGCGGGCAAAAGATGAAGGCGGCGTTTGTTTGCAAGCATGGCAAAGGCAGAAGTGGAAGTCACAGCGGTGCAGAGAAGCCGAGCGAGGGAGTAAAATACTATGTTGGCAGAACTACCAAGCCCAGAGCTGCACACACACACAAACACACAACACACCTCATAGACAGAAAAAAAAAAGGAAAACTCACAATTCTTCTCCTGAGAGCGCAGAGGGATACACATGCAGCTGAACACAGTATACGAGCTCAGAGGAGATAATGCAAGCACATGCAAGCACATACCTAAACATAGACTTATAACTGACAGGTACCTACTCTCCACCCTCTCACTCCTCCCTGTGCCTCATATTTGACAGGTCCACACAGACTTGCTGCTTCAAGCAAAGACTTTGTAAAGTCAACATTTAGATTAGGAGTGTCCTGAATAGTTAAAGTTAAAGTTTCAGATTAATGGGATTTTCCTATGAGACTACAGCGAGTGTGTGCACTTTAACCAACACATGCATTTCTTCCATTTTAAACTTAATTTGTGTATATTTGGATTTCTTGGCCTGTGGACTGATGAAACAGCATCGTTTCCTCTTTATCAGTCTGTAAGTGTGTATATGGTGTTTTAGAAAATCCACTGTGTTGTGCTTTGTATCCTGAAACTTGTGATTAGTAGCCGAAGCTGCTCACAGAGGGACGGTCTATAATTAGGGGTCAGCGTGGGTCAATTGGATCGATATTAATGGAATAGCAGTGTCTTCGGCAGTGTGTATAAAGTCTTATCAGTCTGCCACAGAGGCTGTTGGTTTAGGTAATGATGTATGTGTTTACACAGTCTATTAGAATATAGTTCATCCCCTGTATCAATGACAAAGTGGGATGACAACCCCCCAAAATAATATCAGGATCCTGCAGAGGTGTCTGAAAATGTTGGGGGAAGTAAATCTGATTAACAGGTCTTGAAAAGTTAATTGTGTTTAATGAATGCTTCTCTCTTTCTCCTATGATGTGTGTGTGTGTGTGTGTGTGT